CCCCCCGCCAACAGTAAAATCGGCGCAATAACGTTGTTTTTTTTCGCCTCCAAATTTTGATGAGTTTGTACTATTAATATCCCAGCACCCGCCATCCCCATCAACCCGCAGAGAGTCGAAATACCGGAGACCCTCACTATTGTTTTCCCACAATTACACAAATGCAGTATTATGCATGCCGAAGCCAAATATCACTAAGCCAGTTATCAAGATTTTTTTTACTGTGATTTCCATTCCTTGTACCGTATACTATACTATTAATGTACTACTAGAATAGTAGTACGACATCAATAGTATACTAAAAGATACATACTATCGTCTACCCGGAGTTTAGTACGAAGAAAGTTGCCTATTCCATTCTCGCCATTCCACACCAGTCGAATGCGCAGATTCTCACTTCTGCTTTCTCGATCGCCGTGGTAGCCACTCTTCCCCACACTGGGGCACCTATCGCTACCGTAGTGTCGAGCACCCTCTCGTATCTATGTCATAAAAATACATCGTCTAAGGCGACGCAATCTCGGCCACGGTACTTCTTGGAATTTGTACGTACTTCGTAAACAAACCACTACCAGAATGATTATATGTAGGGCCTTTCGGTTAGCATCTACTAAAAATTAAGATATACCCCCTTCTATTTTAATTAGTGTTGAGCTGGTAGTCAATCTTCCTCGAAGACCAATTGGCAAACCAATACCTGGTATTACTCTTGATGCGCCTATAGAGAAAGACAATCCTGGTCAGAAATAAATGTGTTTCTGGTCTGACTTTGCAAAAGACTTTTTTACTCGGGGAGCGGTGTGTCGTTACAAGTGAGCCCCATCATCATTGACATCCACACTGTCCTAGCCAGCCCACCAAATGTTGTTCTTTCGTAGGTACATACCGCTATTGCACTGGCTTCTTTTTTTCTTATAAGCTTTTTTTACACAGTAGAAAAGCTTGACTTTGCAAAAAAAAAAATGGTAATACTAATATGTTTAAGAAATAAACTATATATATGTACATGTAAAATACGTAGCCAATTTCTGGTCCATCCTGTTAGCATTTACTTCTGTACAGTATATACATCGGTGAATTTAGATGCGTATGGAGTAATCCTCGAAATCGATGGAATTCACTTGAATATGATTAATACAAATCAAGTAGCGCTCACCGAGGAGGCAAATAATCCCATATGGGGTGTATGGTCGTACCAGGATAACCTAACGTATTAGTACCAGCTTAAGAGAGATTTCAAAAGGGTTCTGCCAGACTTAGTGATAATAACTCAGAGAGTTTCTACCGAGGGTAATCATCTTGCTCGGAGGCAATTTCAACAGCTTCCCTGCCTCCTAACATCTTTATCACACATAATAATGTATGAAATATTAGCGGTCGAAATTGATGAGGGAAATCTCCGTTTCAGTCTCGAAAACGCCACCCAGGGAAGCCACACGGTTGCTGCTCTGACTTTGCCCGTACGAGAGGGAGGGTGACGAGTGACACGCTCATAGGAGAAACACTGAGACTACACACGAGTGCCTACAACGACAGCAGCAGTATGAAGCCAGACGCGCAAGACGAAGAATGCGTCAGCGTCAAATTGCAAGTCCGCAAAATAAGCTAGAGCTGTTACTCGTGCAGCGAACATGCTTCCTATACCAGATGCAGCTACGACAGCCCCTGAGGCTATTGTCGTGACCAAGAAACCCTGTACTAGAAAATGAAGAGCCTAAGGCAGCTGAACAGAAGGTTCATGCAGGCTTCATTGAATGCAAAGGAGTCCACCAACCAGCCACCTAATGTTACCGAACGGCCTTCTATCACCAATCAGCTGTCTAGTGTCCGAACGGGCTTTTGCAATCGATCAAACGTCGAGTATTACCGAGCGAGTGACTAACGGTTACATGTCACTCAACGGAACGTGGGTGTGCAGAATCTGCACGTTATCACTGAGTCGCAAACGCGATGCACAAGTTGCACATTGGACCGAACAAGTTGCGATCGGCAGCTACAACACACACTGTTTCTACAGCGACCGACTGTGTTTCCATTGCTACCGACTGTGTGTCCAATGCGACAGACAATTTGTACTTTGGGACATCTGGAGAAACAATACTGGTCGGGCCGTCACTGTTGACAGCAGATTTGCCGCTGCCGTTGAGACTTAAAAGGTGGCAAACATCAATGATCGGAGCTACACGCCTGGGGTTAGAGTATCAGGTGCTTTTGGGGCCATCCAGGTAAAGCCTGCAAGTAACTCTACTTACGCTCATGGTAACTGAGAGCTAAGCTCAAGGAGGACAACTTCGAAAATGAGATGCACCTCGTCGATCGCTGGAAGGCCTTGCCAAGACTTTAGGAGGAAAGATGACGTCAGCGCGGGATTGCTTGGAGCTGGTGACGATGGCCTCTGCGTGTTTAACGCGTTGAAGGGCACAGAACTGGCAGGATGACCGGATATCGTCACGCGGCAAGATATCGACCAGTTTGTCGACATTGAGCTCGTGCTCTATGACCGTGACCTCAAGCAGGGGATAACGTGGAAGGTTATACTTCGCTTCCTGGGTCGACTTCGGGATGCTGGTCGCGATTTCTCCTATAACAAAACTGCCAACAGAAACCATTCGATACCAGGTTGTGATGGAGCAGACGTACTGGGGGGAAATCGATCCCGAGGGCGGGATTTACATAATCGAAGCCTACGATCATCGTCACATCGGCGCCCACAGTTCAAGAAAACAAGCGCCTCATAAACGACTTGTAAGAAGGTAAGCCGATCACATCCGCGAAGGGCTAGACCACCTTCTTTCCATTTGCTCGTCCGTTCACCGGTGATAGGGGTCACTCGGAGCTTCGCGAGTTTTGCATAACCGATAATGTTTTTTTTTTCTATCAAATTGGCCTTTATGCATGTGTATTGCATAATAATTCATATGCTAGATAATTCGATACGTGACCAGGGAAACCTCAACAAGAAAAAAAGACGCAATTGATAGGCACGTTTCATGCGGTTGTACTATCATTATGTTTCGATTTAGTGTCCGGATCCAGCTTTTACGAACTTTAACCTGAACTTGACCTTATGTTCTTTAACCTGGTGTTTGTCTAAGGTTTTAGTGAATATATCAGCCATCATCTCTACCGTATTGCAGTAATGACGGTAAATTCGTGTTTCTCAACTTTTTCTTGCACAAAGCAGTACCTTACGTGAATGTTCTTCGATCGTCCGCGCAGTTCGGGATTGTAGCAGTTTTTAAAACACCTCTGATTGTCCTGTAAATGGTGTTAGCCCGCGTAATATCAAAGCCGAGTTCTTCGAGGAGGAGCTTGGGGAATATCATTTCTTGCATACAGTGCCACATGGCGATATATTCTGCCTCTGTTGTAGAGAGAATCACAGTATGGTTTTTCCGTGAAAGCCATGAGATTGGATTGTGTGCTTCCATAGTCATATAAGCGCCAACAGAGCGTCTTGTGTCAGTGCAGTTGGCATAGTTCGAGTCAGTGTATGCCGTCAGATTATTAGCTAGATTGTCCGACATGATTTTGGACGAGCCTCCTAACAGAAGATCGGGGTCGTTGGTTCCTGACAGATACTTGAGTCCGCGATTGACGGCGTATCAGCGCTCCATTCCTGGATTAGCTAATAATTGACTGACTTCACGCATGAAGAAAGCCATATACGGTCTAGTGCCTACAATTAAATACATGGCACTGCCTGCGCCTTGGCGATACAAAATGCCTTTCATCGCATCTGCTAGGCTGGCTACTATCAGAGATTTTAACGTTCCGGTCTGCTGGCGTTGCAATAAGGTAAGATATGTAGTTGCCGAAACGGTCAAGGGCCCTACGTAGCGTACTTGTGCTGGAATATCGTTCGGTTCTTACAGTCGCGCTGAATGGACCAGCCGGGCGAGTACTTCACCTCCCCTAAATCGGTCATGGAGAGTCTCTTTTTCAGGGCTGAATTTAGCTCCTGTACATGGCCTGGTATTGACGATATGATCAGGGGGTGTTGACGCACATTACAATGTAGCTTGTGATGTCGATAACCGTGCAACAGAAAACGCAACGATCCAAACCAGATCAAGAAAGTTAAGGCTTTCAACGAAAACAGACAACCTTTGGTACCAGACTCAGGGGGCTAAAAGCTCTTTAAGAGCTTGCATATTCGGTGCTCCTTACCAGGGAATTGGCCTTTCGGTTGTGCCATGTAGATCTCTTGTTTTAGATAAACTTTTCAGAAAAGCTATCTTAACATCCAATTGGCGGATTTCAAGGTCGTCCATCCTTTTCATTAAAAAAGAAAAAAGCTTTGGATTTGGTTTCTTGGCGACGGTGCTCACGTTGGCTGAGAGGCTGACGCTTTTATTTCTTGACGCGTTGCGGACTCGGCGAGCTTCGCGCTGGTTGAACGGTCGAACTACCGGTAGGTTCTTCCGTTTGATTGACGTACCAGAGTTGACTCCCGAGTCTCCATCCGAGTCCGGGGTGGCTTGATCTCGTCTCCTAGTCCACATCGTCGGAGTCAACTTCGATGTTCTTGGTGGCCTTGGGATGCGGATTGTCGTCGACGTCAGACACATCGCTGCCGCTGTCGTCACACACGTCTTCAGACACACCATCGTTGTCGGACGGCTTTGCATAGCCGAGTGTGTTCGTGTCATGGAGGGCGGCGCACACGCGAGTTTCACACGCCTTCGGTGAAATAGTCAATACATGCTTGGCAATGGGTAGGGATACCGGTTGGCTCAGCACCGATTGAGATATCGGTTATCTCAGCAACAACGTCGCCGTCGGTGATGTCAAGGCTGTGAACTCAGTTTCTGCCCCACCCAGAGCGGATAGATAATGTCGTGAAATGGCCAGCAAAAACGCATTAGTTACGCGCGTTTAACTAAGAGGGTAGTCAGACCGGACACCACGTTTACCACGTTGTTTATCGCGACGTTCACACGTGCACATCCGCTTGCGCACCCAGTGGTACACCTGCGGCATACCAAAGTGCGCGACACGGCTGCTACAAGGCGATGGCGCTGTACGCTTCGCTACCCGACATGGCGTCGAGTACCATGTTTTTCCTGGGGAGAACTGCGTTTGGGCCACGACGGTTGCGTTGTTTAGTTTGTTGAAAGCATGAACATCACCTCAACCACCCGTGGCTTTCTTCACGCAAAATGTCGGACTGAAATGCGGAGAAGTGCTCTCATGCACGTGACCTGCCGTGCAGCCGCTCGCAAAGTAATCGTCAATGGCTTGGGCCTGATATCACGACGGCATCCACTGCCGCGTCAGGCAATATTTCGAGGTGATCACGAGATCGATGTCGTGACGAATTGGCCGGCAGTTCAGCTGCGATTCTATCTTGAAAATACGTCCGCACGTTTGCATGCAGTCTCTTATACTATATTGATTGGTTGATTCTCGTAGCACTTCCAACGGCTGTGGTGCGTAGCTGTCGCCTTCTATACAGCGCTCTTTGCCCGTGCTGAGCTGTCATCACTGAAAGTAATCAGCTCGGGCGACGCTGAAGCAGAGTCAGCGATCTGGCAGACCTGTTCAATGGTACCGTTCTTGAGGTCGCGAAGGAAGTCCTTCCAGGAGATGCCCGGTAGCCTGGTGATCACCTGCGTTTCTTGCGATGGATTTGCAACCTCGGTTGTGTGCCGGTGACCGCCTGATTCTTCCGTGTACTCAAGCACGTGGATCGACTCCGTCGGTGAGCTGTCACTTGGCACGGGTTCGCGACGTGGCTTTGACGGCGACGGTTGGCTTTTCCTTTCGTCGCCTTGAGTCCGAACTCGAGTGCAAGGAACTGCAGGACGAGAGATCCCCCCCCCCGTTTAAGGCGCGGGTGACCGCGTCCGATTCGGCCGTGAACAAGTGAGAGCCCCTGCTCGACCGCGTAGCGTCAACCGCTCGACCACCGGTATAAATGACAAGAGCCCATGCTCAACCGCCGTCGTGTCCTTCAGGGGGAGTTGCTACCCAGCCGCAGATTGGCTCGCCTCGCACCGAGGTGTCTTCATGCTTTAATATTGTGCATGCTGTGCAGAGATGGTCATCTCTCTCTCTCTCTCTCTCTCTCTCTCTCTCTCTCTCTCTCTCTCTCTCTCTCTCTGTGTGTACCCAACGCACATTGTGGACCGATCGGTCCACGACACTGGCTAGGAGGTGCGTGAACACCTTGCTCGTTGCTGACTAACTGCACCAACCAGTCGATCTCAAGTTTATACCACGATATCCAAGACATATCCGAGATGCAGTCAAATGCGTCATTCATGTCGATCACAAGGAATTCGTACTTGCTACGAAATCCGTCAAACGTGTACGGTAGTGTGATCTCACGCCGCGCCACGCGGAGTGGCTTGCTGAAGGCGAGCTTAACGACAGCCTCATCCAACAATACGTAGCGTAAAAGAGCTTCCTGGATTTTACCATATCGGGGATCTGCGGCATGAACCTCTGGGATCGCCACCAGCACGTGAGCATTGCCCTCATTCCGTTTAAAGTTCTGCCCTAAGTGACTTGAGTTGCTAAGAAACAACATGGGATCCATCTTCTTAAAGCCTTCAGGCCGCGATCATCAACCACCACACCTGTCACATACGTATCTAGCCACTCGCATCCATCATTCGCCAGGAAAAACCGCATCAGGTCAGCATCCAACTGATAAGCTTTTTTTTCTTCTTTATCGCTTCTTTCAAGACCCCCATCGGCAGACCCATGTCGATATCGACAGGGAACGGATTTCCTGCCCCATCCACTGTAACACAGACAGGCTCGTTTTCTCGAGTAGATTCTGGAATGAGGATGCAGTGTCAGAACCGGCCCTAATATCCTTTTAGAATTCTCTGGGTCCCCGACCTTCACATCCTGTATATCATTGGTCGCGAACTCTCACAGGATTGCTAGCCACGCATTTTCTCTTTGTGTGCGTGTAGAAGTCTAACTTGCTTGGGCTCGTGAGGTCTTAACATCTGCCGTGCATCCGGCGGGGCATTTCTTGAGCCAATCGAGAAGAGTGGCTATTCTCCCCCTTCTGGGCGTACTTCATAATATTAGAAACGCTTCTGGATTAAAGCAGTATAAACTAGCCCGGAAGGTAGCCTAAACGCAGATTATCAGAGTTTCAAGAGGAAGTACTTAGAGAAAAGCAAGCAGATAGACTTTTTTTGTGGAATCTGTTCATCCTTGGGTTTCTTTCTGTCAGTTCGAGCCAGTGTACCCTTACAGATTGTTTTGCACCGCGGGCCGTTGAAGCCTGCGAAGCAAGCATTGATATTCAAAGATCAATACCTAAGTACAAGGCTACCTCAACGCATGGTCTACTTGCACTCGCCCAGAATCACCGCACAATGAATAGCAAAGTGGTTCGAAGTGGCAATTTAAAATTACAAATATTTCAGTTAGAACCCAACATCTCTAAAACTACATGATTTATCCTATTTCGCCGCTTCATTTGCGGCTAACCAACAAGAGCTTGCTTATGTTCAGCAGTAAAGATTTTATGTACGTATTGAAAAAACGTCGGGAAAATATCTTTTTATTCCCAATCAAATAGGCTTACTTAGTAAATTGCTTCCTGCAATCTGATTCGTTCTATTACCATCTGGGGTTAGCACCTCGAATGAAGATTGGGACTTGCGCTGCATGTAAAAAAAATATGCTGAATTGTCGATGTTCAAGGAGTGTGGTTTATTGGAGCCGTTCTTCTCTTTTTATATAGTTTTTTCCCGTAGTACGAAAACATGATATTGTCCATTGGTCCACTAGCATCTTGGTGAATCCTGCAGAATCGAGGGTTCTACTAACATTGTACTAAGTACGTTCAAGTACTCACGTGACTGAATCTCTGATATATTTTTCTAGAAGCTGTCATTACGAAAAGATGTGTGTTCCCAGCTAAATCGAAGACGATCTAGTACACATTATGCCGAGCGGTAAGACCCTATATAAATCCGCCGTAAATACTATACTGTGTATTCGTTTATACATTTTTACATTGTTAATATGTGGTCGCTTCATTTCCGTTTAAATACGGCCCGTAAATTCTCTCCCTTCTTTCTCACTCCAGAATAAGTCGCGTCGAGGGAAGATGGTTGCTCTGACGCTTATCTGTTACCTTGTAGAACATGGGAGTATGATTTCAGTTGAGATTGATTCAATCAAAATGATGGATTTCATGAAGGAAGTCATCGCTCGAGAGATGAAGTACACTAGACGATCCTATCCCTGTGCCAATCCATAATTGCATTAGCAGCAACCGTACTTGTAGGGGTTTTACACTTGACACGTTCACAGTAGTGACTAGCGTCATCTTTTAGTACCAGTAGATACTGCATGTCACCGTAAGCTTCCCCTACGTACCGAAAATCCCAGTGCAACGCTTGGTTCCTTTCATTGCAACGGTATGTTTCGCTCCTGTGCCTCGGCACTACCTTCCCCCTTTCACGTGATGGCAGAGTAGGCAGCTTGCCAAGATTTTCTTCACGCACTGACGAAGTTGCGGCACGTGGAAGAGGCGGCCGATATGTGCCATCATGGCGTCGCGTCCTCTGTGTCCCTGCGGGCCGCAATGTGCGATGCGGCGACGCAAGTTAATATCATTGGCTGGTATCCACAGATTCCCATCTTTGCTCCAGATACCATCGGCATCGTCGTCGAGGTCAACCCGTTCAGCCGTCGTCCCAAACCGCCGTTGTGCACTCTCAATAGCCTCCAAGGTAGGCCACATGAACCCGGTATCATCCAGGGGTCGAAGTACTATACGCTCGTTTAGTTGCTGTCGGCGAGTACTCACTCTCTTTGCCCGAGCCGTAACAGGTACTCGAACCCACCTTGAGAACATGTCAGCCCAGACGTTATCTTCGCCAGCGATGTGATGAATTTCGTATCTGAACTCATCGAGCTTCAGAGCCCACCGCACTAGTTTCCCTCGAATGTGTTTTTTTTACAGTAGCATCAGGGGCGAAGACGTAGATTAAATTCTTGTGGTCGCAGTATAATCGAAACCCCGCAGGTCTGAGAAGGAGGTAGGACAACTTGTCACAAGCTGCCACAATTGCAAAAGCTTCTTTTTCGATCACGCTCCAATTTGCTTGAGATCCCGAGAAAGTCCCACTCAAGCAGTGTAAAAGTTGGTGGCGGTGCTCATTAACAGGTTTCTCGGTCTCCCAGTCGTGCACGTCGGTCACAATAACACTCCAGGCCGTGTCCGAGGCGTCAGTGAACACCGAAAGCTGGCCATCGGCGCTGGGTGAGCCAATTTAGCCGCAGACGCCAAGCAGTCCTTCACTTGATCAAAGGCTGCTTGTTCTTCATCATTGAGGGTCACTGGTAGCCGAGCTGTAGCTCGTTTTGTCCGTTTTCCACCTTTTAGAGTATCATCCAGTCGCTTCTGGAGAGTTTTAACATGGTCCGCATAGTTAACTAGGCTATCTCTCATCCAGTTACAAGCACAGATAAATTGTTGGAATTATCCGGCGGTCGTGGGCCGGCAGTGGTATCTCACGTAGTCCAGCGATACTTTCCGGGTCGTGACTTACACCTTCACCGTCAATTATCTTCTCGCACCACCTCACAGAGCGTTGGAAGAGACTTGACTTCGCTGCACTGAGCTTCAAGCCGAATTCATCCATCAAACTGAAAAGCTCTTCCAATTTGTTTAGATAGGTATCCACATCGCCAGCGTAAAGCAGGAGATCATCAATCCAGAAGCAAGTGCTTATGGAGTAATTTCCCGAGAGACTTCTCCATAGTCATCTGAAAATGAAGTGCTGCATCACTATAGCCTTGTGGAACTGTGGTTGGCGTAAATACTTTCGCATCAGTCATGTAGCTTAAGATTTCTTGACATGCTTTGGCTAACGGCAACTGCCAAAAGCCTTTTATAAAGTCAAAAAGTCCAAAGTACTTCATGTCACGAACATGCATAGTAATAACCTGTAGAATAGGCTTGGCGCCAGCGAAAGGCTCGGTTTCAGCATTGGCTGGCCGGTAGTCGCTGGTTTGCCGGTATTCGTCCTTGCCTGGCTTCTTAACAGGCAGCGCCGGGCACGCCCACCGACTTAAAGTGTTTTCATACACCCAACCAAGTTTGACTAGCTCGTCGTTGAATTGCTGCAGGAATTTGCGAAGGTGCGGGGTTCCTTTAGACTTGATTTTGCTAAAATAAAAAAGTTTGGAAGTTACCCGACCCTTCATCACATCGCAGCCATGTCGACAAGTCCTCACCGTCATGATCATGTGGATATATCTGATGATCGTTCTGCGCATGAACAATGTGAACAAATGCTACGTGAGAGTGAAGAATTGTGTTTCCTGAGGCAGCTCAAGCCAGCACATGCAAAAGCGGTCGCGGCACTGAAGATGGCGACCGAGGTTTATGGTAAAAATTCGCTGCGGCTGGTCCCCTTTTACCTCGTGCTGGTCGAAATTTCACTTCGAGAGAGACAACTCAAGCCTGCAGAAGAAGTGCTCTCTTTAGTGAATTGGCTACTGGTCAAAGATCGCAAAGTTTGTGTCGACAACTCTGCTTCTGGAATACTAACCGGAGCCAAAGCGTCCGTACCGGAACTACCAGAGGAGATGAAGAATCTCCTCGTAATTCGTATGAACAAACTCTACAGTCTGCTACATCTTGAATACGGCACTTTCTCTGAAGGACTTCAACGCGCAGCTCATGGCGCCTACCACTGCTCCCTACTCTTTGGACCTGACCATCTCTACACGTCAGAGCTTTACTTCTGTCTCGGTTTAATCTTCCACCGCATGCAACGTGCTGCTCTAAGACAACAGCAAACTCAGCTTCAAGAAGAGTCTCAACAGCAGCAACGTGAAATGCAGCAGCGCAACCAGCAAAACGATAGCGCACTCGCCATGCTGGACAAGGTGGTGGATATCTGGTACCGATTCCTGACGAATCCACCTGAAGACACGGCTGCGTGGATGTTGGAACATCGACGTCTGCGTATTCAAGAAGCTAGCTCTATGCTCCAACAGATCGTCAGTATCCGCCAGAATCTGCTGGGTGCGAAACACGTAGCTACCGGGGAAGTACAGTACACATTGGGCTTGTTGTACCTCTTTCTGGGAGACCACATACAGGCGAAGGCTTTCGTGAAACAGGCGCTGGACATCTATGTCGATGCACTGGTGAGTTTTTTTTTCTATTACTCTATTCGCCGTATTTGTACAATATGAACTGATCAGCAAACCGCACGTAGGGTCCTGAGCATCCATCCACAGTGGACGTAATTGGAGTACTGCATCAGCTGGATGAAGCTGGTGTTTAAGTGCTCTGATCTCAGGATTTCTCGTTCGCTTCAGCTGCCTTGATGGCCTCGGCTTCCTTGTGTTTACGGTACGTAATAGTGCACACTCGACGTTCACTTGGCACCATGAGCTCGAAGGGATCAGGACTCTCGAAGTAAAGATCACCATACTTTTTCTAAAATAAAATAAACAATGCCATACCACGAATCATTAGCATCCCCCCTCTTGAACGCCCCCTGATCATCCATATACCTGATCTGCTGGACGTCCGCGAAGCCAAATCCTCCAGGCGTGCAACATCATCCGTGGCGCTTCATCCTCTTGGGAGCCGTAGGTGACATCACCCGCGATAGGGAAGCCATGGTGCGCCATGTGAAGTCGCAGTTGGTGTCGACGGCCATTCAGTGGACGCAACAACACCTTCGTGACAGGTTCTCCTTCGTACATTGCGTGGCCCAAGACAAAGCAAATCGTGGTGGACTGTTTGGCTGCTGCGTCAGCCTCAGTACCCACCAACATGCGGAAGACGCCGGTACTTCGGTGTGGCTCGATAATTGGTGCGTCGAAAATGTAAGCAACTGGCTCCTCGCTGTCTTCACGATCAAGACTCTCGTAATTGCGCTTACGAGCCAGTCGGACCTTTTCCTGACTTAGAAACTCACTTAACTCCTTTAGGAAGCGCTGCTTATCTGCCTTTGCCTTCTCCGTGTATGCATCCTTCTCCTCCTTAGTCAAGTCGTGCCATGTCATCTTCGTGAACGCCAACTCCGCTGGTGTCAGCTCCCGTGTTCCAGCTCCATTGCTAGTGCCTCGCACTTCACCTCTCGAATCTCCTTGACTCTCACGTAGAAGCCGAGCTTGCTCCATCGTAAACAAGTTCGGTCCATGGCGTGCTCCACGCGGATATCCTGGCATCTTCTGGTGTGCCCTCGAACCTCGCTGTTGGTTCCTCAACCTCTCCATTTCTTCCATGTCTTGGATCAGCAAACCCAACTTTGAAAAAGTACAGGCTTTTGCAGGCACACCAGCAGTATCAACACTATCCGCAGGGTTGAATGGTAAATGCCCTTGTACTACCGCCAAATATTCCTTCTGCACCTGCTTCTCACGAAACAGTCGGCATCCTGTCGCCGTCGCTCTGCAAAAGAAAATATTAGTATTGTTCATTTGTCGATTGTTTCCACAATCTTCACTCACTCTTTATTTGCTCCAACGACCAACACACCTGACGTCGCTGTAAATACAATCACCAGCGCGCTGTCAGTAGCCATATTATCATACTCCCCCTTTGAATTTAGCGGTACCGAAGTCCAATTGGTGAATCCATCGGAACTTTTCGACTTGTGGGAAATCTCTTGCCAACTACCACCACAACGTCCAAAATATTCTCAGTAATTGTGTCAAAGGTTTGCTTTCTTCACTAAATGCAACATGCTTCTTACCGCTTTCTCCAATGTTACGTCAAATGCACCGTCCATCCGTTCATCTGGACCTTTATTCAGCACCACAAAGTGTTCGTCCTTGCTCAGAATACGCAGTTGTAGCTGCTCCAGCGTCTTAGGACCGCCTCGCTCGTCGTCTTCGGTGTTATTTGCACTACCTGAATCCATAGAGAGCGCATGGTCGTCTGGCAAATGGCTCTGGTGCCTTCGGACTTTGGTCTCCATTGGGTTATTGGCGTTTTCGGTCGCTTCAAAGGTGCGTTTGACGCTGAAAAAAGATGAGGAGGACGAGGAGATGCTGCCAGTGCTGGGGGAAGCACTCATGGCTCGCCACGAACGCAGTTGAAGACGATAGGAGCGCGTCAAGCGGAGGGACATGCAGTCCAGCAAAGCTGGCGGTTTGATTAGCTTTTGAAAATGGTGTTCAGATCGTGTGGCACGTTTTATTTCCTAAAAACAATTTGCTTTCAATAATTGTGAAAATGTCTAGAAACTAACGTTAAATAAGACCATTAAGTAAAAGCATTCCAAGTCGAAAGCGGTCAGATACTTCCATCCAGAAAAATAACTTCATGTTGCAACCAAAAAAGTTGATATCCATGGATTGATGGATGTAGCAACTCGATGGAGGAACACGCATTCTGGGCTAGGATGTCTTCACGGAGCAAGCGTCTGTTTGGTCGAGTGGTGCAGGTGTCCATTGTGTTCTTGGTGCTTTACTGTTTTTCAGCCGCCATTATCTGGATTCAATGGGCAGAGATGAAAAACAATACTGTCGTCAATTTTGAATCTCGAGATCTTGATACACTTGCTGTGGAAGATGAAAGCGATGAATACCCAGCTCAAGCGTGGAAGAAACGCGAGTTTAAATGTCTTGGTTGGGTGGAAACCGACAACGATGGAGACGAATTGGGGACGAGAAGAGAGTGCTGGCAGCGGATTCAAGCTGGTGACGCTGGGTACTGCGAGGTGATGAACTCTACCTCTGGTCAAGTATTTCGCGTGATGCAGACTACCAGTCTCTCCCTCAAAGATGACACTCGATTTACGTGTGAATTGGCAAAATCGTTTTCCTCGTTTCGCTTCAACGCCAAGGCATATCGTCACGATCCACCAATGGCACTGGACCAATTCGACTCACATGGAATTATCATGGCTGTTTACGAAGGCGTTCTTCCCGGTGCATTCGCGAGCATCCGTCGTCTACGAGATGTTGGCTGTACACTTCCAATTGAAATCTGGTTTCGTCACGATGAGCTAGCAACAGACAACCCCGTGCTGTTACTGCTGATAGAAAAATATGGACCCGTACACTTACGACAAGTATTCGACGATCGCATCTATGGCTTCAACATAAAGATACATGCTCTGTACTACTCACACTTCACCAGCGTCTTGCTGCTCGACGCCGACAATTTCGCTGTGAAGGATCCAACATCACTGTTCTCTTCTTGGCCGATGAAGCAATATGGAGCTGTGTTTTGGCCCGATTTCTGGCATCCTGGAAACTCAATCTTCAACCTCCATGCTCAGAGTTTGGTGTGGGAGTTGTTAGACCTGGAATACGTGGATATGCTAGAGCAGGAAAGCGGTCAGGTACTGGTGAATCGAGCTACGAGCAAGCCGATGCTTGAACAATTGATGTACTACGCGACGCATAGGCCAAATCTTTTCTCAAAATTGAAGCTCGTGTGGGGCGACAAAGATCTCTTCCGCTTGACGTGGCTGCAGATGCGAAGGAAATTCTACTACAACGACCGTCGGGTACCTGGAACTCTTGGAATCGTTAATTACGACCGCCAACGCTATTGCGGAGTAACGATGGTGCAGTACGATTTAACTGGCCAAGACATGCTCTTCTGGCACCGAAATACCATCAAATTGAGCGGTCGAGATGATCGACGGGTGTGGCACACGTTTCAAGAGCTTCCTGTTGATCCTGAAGACAGCGGTCTGCTCCCCAAAATCCAGTCTTTCAACGGCGAAAAAATGTTCAATGAAACGTCATGTTTTGGGGTGAAGCGTTTCAAGATGAATGCGCTCGTGCGAATGAAGCGCGTCGACGAACTGGGAAATGGGTTGGCTTCGCTGGAGAATACTTTGATTCAATATGCACGACAGGCATACGAGCTGCTGCATGACGAAAGCTCAGCTTAAAGCTGTTTTTGCGGTTTAGATCTCACTTGAGCGGTGCCCGATCACTTGTCGAATGGTTTCAGGAAATTCTAGGTCGAAAAATGGCTCGATCGTTAGAAAAGCCGCTCGCTTCAGTTGTGAGCTGTGCTTGAGGAAGGTGGTTGCTGCCTCCTCTCGACTAGAGCTATAGACAATAGATTCGCTGCCGCTCTTCTTTGCTTGAGTTGTCATATGATTGTAGACTATCGATTGCACGTAGCTGATCTCATTTAGTCGCTTCAGGTTTTGCACCATCGAAAACATATCTGCGCTTGCGTTGAGCATTTCAATGGCCTTCGTAGCTGCCGCTGCTGGCTCCTTCGCTCCCTCTTTGCATCGTTTGATACTTGCAATCCTGGTTTTTGCTAGCACGAGCAGGCATTCTCCACGCAGATCAATGCTGCCATGTTCCATCACCAGGGGCACCTGATCGTTGATTAGTGAATGAGCATCTTGAAGCTTCCCCATCGCGATGTAAATTTCAGCCATGACAACATGAGCCTCTGCTAGCAAAAGATCATAATGGTGACTTCTGCAGATATCCACACCTTTCAGCAATGAATTGAGAGATGCGAATGGCGCATGTGGAGCAGATGCTTGAACGCGAGTTCGACTTATAGCAATCAGCACCTGGGCATGCAGATACGCGAACCCGTGCTCACTGCAAGTAGTTTCTAAGCGTTCGAGTAAGTCAAGACTTCGCGGGTAGTCGCCGTCGGCGGTCCATAGCGCGGTTTTCAGCAGGAGTGCTTCGAGATAAGCAAGGAAGTCTTTTCCTTCTGGAGATAAGGCAAGTATCGCGTCTAAGTGGACTTCCGCACGTGGGAATTCTCCTCGCTGCAACGCCCATAAGAAGAAGAGGCGGTGTAATGTCCTCTGGTACAACATGTCGTTCAGTAAGTGGCGCCGCTCTCCATCAGCAATGTCGACCAGGAACCGAAGAGCTTGTTCGTAAACAACTGTGTTCTTGTTGGTCTGTGCGAGGTTCGACATCGCCATCTGACTCACCGTTAGCGCGATTTCTCTCGTGCTCGCCGAGTCTTCGTAGCACAGGAGATGTATACGACTGAAGACTTCCTCAAGCGATCGTTGACCATACAGACTCCATCCAACTGCTGCTGAGATTGTTACTTTCCCACTCAGAATCCACACCGTCTCTAGAATTGCCTCTGTAGACTTGATCCAATCCATCCCAGTTCCACCAGATTTGTCAGAAGAGTCAGCGCCAGAACCTCCCCCAGCTTGCATTTGAAGTGCAATCATCGTCCGCGTGCCATTGGTTGATAAACTCGCAGCTGGCGTCGCTATCGATGCGATGGATTGCATTGCTTCTTGGAGTCGGGACCAAATATGCAGCGGGCGAGGCGCCGGCGCATGAGCAGCAATCAAATGCGGAACAAACTGCGACACCGACCCCGCCGTGTCTGACCTCGCTGTACCCCCACGCAACAAATCGCTCTCCACTTCTGTCAAAGTTGCCAATACTTGCAGCGATGGCAAGCGTAATTCCTGAGCACGGTCTAAGCAACTTCTCACAAGCTGCAAGACAGCATCTTTGGAGTTCCCGATCTTCTGATTAATGCGAATAAGCCACGCCAGCGCGAATGCAACACAGATGTGATCTCCGTGATGCTGAGCTACTCGTATCGCTTCTTGGATACTTTCTTGTGCGGCAGTACAGTGGTCGAATAGTATCTGCAAGCCAGCCAAATTCAGTGCGGCATACTGGATACCACTTCCTCGGAAATGAAGCCCAGAACCCCCTGCCAACCCTGTCGACGCAGAGCCATTGCCTTCACCACTACCATTACCAACTGATCGAGAATTCTGACGAGGTGAGAGGATATCATGGTATTGGTGTAAGCTGTCGAGTGCACCCTGGTAATCACGATCTTTAAGAAACGATAAATACCTCGTGAAGAGCACGTTTGGGTTGGATCTGTCCATCTTCTTGCGAAGCAGTCGGAGTTGCTCTTCCGTTGAGTGACCCTTTGGTTGCTGCGAGTTCCAAGTTCCTCGTCCTCCTCCCATATCGCGGATCATGTCACTTAGGATGTAATTCAGCTGGTCATTCGACCACACCGCCGGGTCGTTCACTTCCCGAACAGCTTCTGGAGTCAGCAGCTTCTCCGTCAAGACATGTGGGTCAAGTTTTGTAGGTGCAGGCGTCATCAAATTGTTTTGTCGTGTACTGTGCAATGGCGTTGCGCTCCCTGAGTGAATCGGCGACAGCAGCAGCTCGTCATCGTCCATCTTGCCTTCATTCCATAGATTCTGTGACGCTGGTGACCCTAGCAGCTCCAAACTGCTGTCCTTCTCCTCCTCTTTCTCCATTTTCTTCTCCTTCTCCATATCATCTCGAAATTGTTCCAGATACTGTTGTACATCATCAAAAAGTCTAGATAAACCGTCAAACAGGAGGCGGTTCACCTCCAGTAAGAAGCTGCGTACGAACACACCCAGTAAACTGGTACGGACCAGTGTGGAGTTGGCTGAGTCCACGTCCATTTCTGCGTCCTCTCCGTCACGTACAAACTGTAGCGGTGTCACACACTCGGAAATCTGCTCCACGACGTTGCACACGGAGTCGGGGCTCTCGATCTGCGTCAGGATACTCACGAGCTGCCAGGACAACTGCTCAAAGTCCTGCTCATTGTCTAAACTCATCTCCAACCGACGCAATAAACTCTTGAGGGTCGTGAATCCTGTCCTGCTCGAATTGTCCTGATTAGTTTTCATAGGGTGCTGGATCTCGAGACTTAGAAATCGCGCCAGAGTGTTGAGCGACGTCCTGCTGATGACTGATGGGGCAGGCTGCGTGTGCGGCGCGTCAACTAGAGACGCTACCGAGTCCTCGCCGGCGCTGTTCTGCTTGGCATCTTGTTGCTGCTGTCGCACATACTCCGACACCAGGAGACAAACACTCAGCAAGTAACTATTTGCCTTCCACTTGCGCATGATGCCAAGATGGTTTTGGAAGTGAACGAAATGTACCATAAAAATGGTACCGATTTTTACAATTAGCCGCTTAAATTAGTTAGCAGTAGTCACAAAAGAGACTATTTTGTAATAGCATGTCGCCAACTGCAGTTGACCTGGTGTGTCGGTCGAAATCGGAGCTCGACGGGATTACGTATGTGGTGGACGCTATCTCGGCGTACGCTGATTCTTCAGTGGAATTGCCTCTTGCGAAAGCTTGTACGTTTGGATCGTTGAGGTTGCTAAATCGCATTTGGAACAGTACGATTGACCTCGAGTCCAATGGTCGAGGAATGTGGTCCATCAGGAAGTTGCTACGATCGTATAAATTGTATGGGAAACTGCAGTTTACGTTGTGTCTACTAGAAGCAGTGAAGATTAACAGTTTGGAGATTGTCCAGTGGTTGTTCGAGCGCTTTCCAGACTATGGAGTGAGACGACCAGTTGTCTATGGGGCAGCTGAAGCAGGAGCTTTAGAGATCCTCCAGTATTTCCGTGAGCATGGCACAACTGTCAATCATGAAGATGAAGAGAACCTGGAAGGCGGGCGTTGGAATGAGGAGACGGAGAATTGGGAGAAAGGTAGGTGGGTCTACTGGGGCAATGAAGATGCCGCTCAAGCTGCTCTAGGAGGACACCAAGATGCAGTCATGTACATTTACGAAACTACTGCGTACGAAGACAGATGTGATTATGACACTATTGGCGGAGCAATTATCAGAGGAGACTTGGAGTTAGCAGAATGGCTCTCAGATAGACTGGACATGTTACCTGACGGGCCTGACGCTCACCTTGGCGCGGCTGCGAACGGGCACGTTAGATCGCTTCAGTGGCTACATGCTCGAGGCCAGTACAGCATGTATGACGTCGGTGTGTTGGTGAGAGCAGCTGAAGCTGGCCACCTGGATGTAGTTCGATGGATAATTGATCGTGATTGGAATGACCAAGGGCTTGGCACTGACAGTGGTGAAGACGAGGACGAGTATGCTATGGGCTATAACAGAGGTAACAGGACACGTCGAACGCACATCACTTGCCTCAGTGGGGAAGCAAGTTTAGCGATTCATGCTGCTGCCATCCATGGCCATCTCGATGTTGCCAAGTATCTGCATTCTCGTATTGACATTCCACTCGACGCAATTGATAGAGTGAAAGAGGATTGGCGGCTGTACAAAAGGTTGAAAGCAATATCAAGGCAGATTGGGCAGAACAACAATGCTGCAAAGGTTTCAGGAGTAACGATGCTGCTTGCTGCGCAAAGAGGACATGCTGATGTCGTTCAGTGGCTCTACGAAGAATATCATGGCGACCCGAGAATTAACCTTTTCTGGGTTTACAGCGACGCTGAAGCAAAATATGTCAGTGTTGTTGACGCAGCAGCAGCAAATGGCCACTTAGAGATCGTAAAATACTTGCTTCAAGTGGGAAAAGAAGGTAACGATAGCGTCGGGCCACCCCAAAAGCGACAACGCACTCAAGAGTCCTCGAACTTCACAGTTCGAGAGGATATGCATGACACACATTCAGAGCTCCTTGATGACCCAACGATGCCGTCATGTACAAAGAAAGCCATCGATAATGCTGCCACAGCTGGTCACTTAGACGTTGTGAAGTGGCTTCATGTTAACCGCACGGATGGCTGTACAGCGGATGCAATGGACCTGGCTGCGTTAAATGGGCACCTGGAAGTGGTGCAGTGGCTAGACGCTAATCGAAATGAAGGATGTACAACCGGAGCAATGGATAATGCCGCAACTTCTGGAGAATTAGCTGTAGTGAAGTGGCTCCACGAGCACAGAACTGAGGGCTGCACATTGGCAGCAATGAATGGTGCTGCAAGCAATGGCTTCCTTATTGTCGTGAAATGGCTGCACGACAATCGAAGTGAAGGATGCTCGAGCGCCGCGATGAATGGAGCTGCTGCTCGTGGAGCACTGGACGCTGTAAAGTGGCTGCATCATCATCGATCTGAGAGCTGCACGCCATTAGCCATGGACGAAGCTGCTCGTAAAGGTCACCTACATGTACTTCGATGGCTGTTTGAAAACCGGGACGAAGGTTTTACTACGGTAGCAGTGTATAATGCGGCTCAGGCGGGGCACTTCGAAACCGTGTTGATTCTACACAACTTGGCACAAAAAGGCCTTGTGCCTGAAGTTGAAAAAATGAACGAAGATGCCTCGATGGTCTTGATCTCTGACATATATCAAGAAGTTGTGAGGGCTGTACTGCCAAAAACTGACGAGTAGCTTCAGAAGCTTGAGCGATTGACATACAATGCTGATAGATAGAGAGATATCGAGAAGTCGTGACCACTCTGTGAGTTGTAACAACTTGTGAGGTTTGTGTTGCCAAAAACCGATAGGTACTCGTTGTTTCTAGAGCTTGTGTGCAGCTATTGAGCAAAACCATATCGATAGGGGCAACTGTATGCTCATGGCGTTCCAAGTGGAAATCTTCCGGCCCATGTCATGTTCTACCTTGCTACAACTTGTTAACCTACTAAGAAGTTAACCTACCTAAGAAGTGGCCAAAATTTGTTCAAAATCAAAAATGTTGAAGGCAATTTAAAGTGGGTACAGCGTACCATTTCTGTCACCATCCTTGTCATTATTCGATGGTGACTACGTTGCCGACTCCGCTGCTGGCGGTGTCGCTGCTCTTCCGCTCCAAGCCACGTTTTGCCGGGATCGACCATGTAATCAGCTCCGTGTCGGCCTACGCTGACTCATCCGTCGAGCTGCCTCTCAATAAGGCGTGCAAATACGGGTCCGTGACGCTGCTGAACCGCATCTGGAACAGTACCGTCGACTTGGAACCCGGAGGGTGGGGACTCTGGTCCGTCAGGAAGTTGCTGCGGGCGTATAAGCTATATGGCAAACTGCAGTTCACGTTGTGTCTTTTAGAAGCAGTAAAAACCAACAACGTGGATATCGTTCAGTGGCTGTTCCATCATTTTCCAGACTACGGAGTGAGGCGGAAAGTAATTTACGATGCAGCATCAGCAGGAGCGTTAGAAATTTTGCAATATTTCCGAGCTAATGGAACCGTAATAAGGAACGAAGAGGAGGAGCAGGAAGAGGATGAAGAATGGGACGAAGAAAAGGAAAACTGGGAGAGAGGTCGTTGGGTTCGTTGGGGAGGACTCGATGCAGCCAAAGCTGCAATCGCCGGACATTCTGACGTCGTTAAGTGGATGTACGAGACTTATGCACAGACCTGTGAAAACAGAAACGACTTCTGCGCCATGGATGGGGCTTTTATTGCAGGAGACATGGATCTGGCAAACTGGTTGATGGATGAGCTTTGCATGGATCCCGAAGGACACGAAGCACTACATGGTGCAGCCGCTAATGGACACGTCGAGCCGCTGCAGTGGTTTCAAGAACGTGGAGAATACACGTCGTGGGATGCTGGGACGCTGTTTAAAGCAGCGGAAGCAGGGAAATTGAACGTGGTTCGATGGATTGTCGACCGTGATCGAAATGATAGTGAGCTTGGAGACCAAAGTGGCCCAGATGAATACAATTTTGACTACAGTTATGGAGATAGAACGCGTCGGACGTATCTCACTTGCCTTGGAGGAGAAGCAACGCTGGCTATACATGCTGCTGCGATTAATGGACACTTGGAAGTTGCTAAATATTTGCGTGCTCACACTGACAAACCACGCAATGACCGAGAGAAAACAAAAGAGAAATGGAGACTGAGCAAAAGAAAGAAAGCTTTATCCGAGCGATTGAAAGGGAATTCCAGTGTCGAAACCGTTTCTGGAAGAACTATGTTGTTTGCTGCAGAGCGAGGATTCCTGGATGTGATCAAGTGGCTGTACGTCGAATATCACGCGGATCCAAAAATTAATCTCTTCTGGGTCTGTGGACACATCGATGAGTACGGGTACAGTGAAAATGACAATGATTGCGGTGATAGTGAGTCCTACTGCAGCGTGGTGGACGCAGCAGCAGGTAAAGGCCATTTGGAGATCGTTCAATATTTGCTTCACATCGGACAAGAGGAGGAAGATACTCGAAAACACAAGCGACAACGCATTCAAGAGAACCCAGACACTGTCACTCGTGACTCCTTGAGTCCACCAACCAAGCCAAAGTGCACCGCAGTAGCGATGGACGTCGCAGCGGCTCATGGTCACTTAGATGTTGTTCAATGGCTTCATGCGAATCGTTCGGAGGGTTGTACAACTGCTGCAATGGATCTCGCAGCGACAAATGGGCATCTGGACACTGTTGAGTGGCTACACGCTCACCGGTCAGAAAGATGTACTGTCGAAGCGATGGATGGTGCTGCGAGTGGCGGCCACCTGGATGTTGTGAAGTGGTTGCACAAGTACAGGACCGAGGGCTGCACAACTGCAGCTATGGACAATGCAGCGAGTGGTGGACATTTCGAAGTCGTTAAGTGGCTGCACGATAAACATGCGGGCTGTACAGCTGCCGCGTTGGACGGTGCCGCCGCCTATGGCAAGTTGGAAATTGTAAAATGGCTACATAGAAATCGATCCGAGGGATGCACAAAGTTGGCAATGGACGGCGCTGCTCATGGAGGCCATTTGCGAGTACTTCGGTGGCTGCTTGAGAACCGGAAAGAAGGATTCACTGAAAGAGCATTAGATAATGCGGCGCGGTACTCGCAGTTCGAAACTCTGTTGATTTTGCACAACATTGCGCAGCAAGGTTACGTAAAGCAGGTTGACATCATGGATGAAGAAGAGTCCAATAAATGGATCTCCGAGCATTACCACGACATCGCACGGGCAGAATTCTATTCCGGCAATGGCGTTGGATGGTAGGAATTATAGTAGAAACAACACACGAGTAAAGGCACCGCTGTAAAGTTGACTTCAACATCTATCCTTGTTTGATTGGTCAAAAATCTACAATAGTCGTGTTCGATTGGTGGAAAAATGTACCCAACCAGCACCGCACTCACCATTGCCATTCGCGCACGCCCCCCACATTCCGCACTCGGTGTCAGACGATGAACGAGAAGCCTTGACGGACTCCCTAGACAGACGAGAACCAGGCAGAGATAGGTAGATACAATGAGGGCCAGCAGCGACGCTCAAGCGGACGCGACTGCGACGCCCTTCAACCCGCTCGTGGCGCTGCAGTCGCTGCTATCCGCCGACGTCATGAGCGTCAAACAGCGTGTCAAGGCGGCACAGCAGTTGGAGGAATACTTCCGTCTCCTGAGTCCCACCCCTGGCTTACTGCTGTCCTACGAGCCTTACCTGCCTCTGCTGACGGACGTAATGGTTACGCCACTTAAAGGTGGCCAGGAGCTGCAGACGAGCGTGTTGAGCATGCTGCAGACGCTGTCAGCTCATAACCCGACGGGATTCGGTGAATGGATCGCCAGGAATACACAACTGGGTAACGAGCCGTGGCTCGTGCAATGGAGCTATGCGCTACTGCTACAGACGGAGAAGGTGGTGCCAAGAGAAGAAGAGGACGATAAGTGGAAGGACTCGACGGCTGAGTTTAAGCAGTTCGATATGCTATTGGCACGAGTGATGCAGATGTGGAGAACGTTGCTGGATCATACAGCCGATGTGGCTCTTGTGGATCAGTTGGTGAAGTGCGTGCAGGCTCTGCTGTTGCAGTCAGATTCAGACCAGTGGCGCGCGTTGATGTTGAAGAAACTACAGGCGCATTTTGTGGATATCGCGGATGTTTTAATTGGATGGATGATGAGTACGGGGCCGCATAGTCCGCTGCGGTACGTGTTGGGCTGGGTGTGACGTTGGAAAAATATTTTTTTTGAGTAACAATTTTTATTGGAAACTGTAAAATTTCAAGGGAGGAAATTCTAACGCTATTGAACAATTTCGGTCGCTTGTGGGCTGACAACAGCGTGTTCAGCCTTCAGCTGATGAATTCGTTCGCGGATGTAAGTGCATTTTACTCAAAGAATGTGAATGTCAAAAATATGGGCTCATTTATACCGATGGCTTTATAAAGGAAATTGTAAATTTGTGCGATTCGTGGAGTGACCACCTAGAGGGCGACGATGATCGCCTCAGCACTTTAGTGACTTGTTTTATGATGGTAGCTCAATGTGTTCCTGATCTTGGTACGTGAATATTGCTCTGACGCTAGTTCCGTATGAGTTGACCGTCTTATTAATTATGAATTTCATTGCAGCTTTATCCGCTGATGGAGGCGCCCACAGTCCTTTTGTGAGAGTGCTTCATCGCGTCGTATCTTGTCCCCAGCCAGATTATTCGTAAGTGGTGGATGCTATTGTATTTTTCTTGCATCTCGAGAGCCTAAGCTGATCTCACTGTGTTGATAGTCTTTTTTGTGTCGCGCACTGTTCGGAATACCTGGTATCGATTTCCAACGCGAGACACAGCAGCTTTGCTCCTCTCTCGGTTACAACAATAGGGTTTTTGCTTCATCACTGTGCTGCACAGTCGCGCTTGCATGACTGTGAGGTTGACAAACTCTCGACAGTGTTGGAAAATGCTTGCAAGCTAGCAAGCGCAAATTTTTCCAGTATTGCTGACTCACTGCTCGTGCGAACTACTGCTATTGGCGTACTGGATGATGATATTCCTTCCCGAGTCATCAAGAAAGGTGGACAGCCAAAGCGTATGAAGCTCATGGAATGCCTGTTTCACCTGAAATGTGTTAACACGGTTACACACATTACTCAATTGTGTCTGCAACTAATCCAACTGGGCGGAATTGGTGCTCTGAAGGTTCGTTGGACGGCTGAGTGCAGTGTCATGTATTGTTACTGATAATTCCTTGGTGTACTTGTAACCAGGTATTCGTAATGCGAGCACTTCAGCGGTTGAATGGCCGAACTGGTGAAAAGGGAAACAATTATTTTGTGTTTGCAGCTACGTGTATCAGCCTGGTCTCCCGGAATCCAGAAATACTGAAGCTCACACATGATGATGATGCGACGTACGTAAGTGCGATTCTTGATTTGATTACAACGAAGCTGGAAAAGCAGAATCACCGACATCGCCAGTCCAAACTGACGCTCCGGCAGTTGCGTCTCATGCTAAAGATGACTTGCGCATTAATTGGCGCTATTTCTCAGTGGCTTGTTGATCGATGTGATGTTTTGGAGACTGTGAACGGGGTATCGCTGCGTGTGTTGCAGTGGGCAGTCAATGTGCTGCCAAGTGAACTTGTGGTGGTTCGAGATAATCGAATAATTGTTGAAACGCTGCAATTAATTCGAGCCGTATTATCTCAGATGACACTGCTCCCAAGTATACCGCCCGATATTTGCCGGGACCTTTTGGTGAAGGTAGTTAAAATCGTTCGTTGCTCCAGTACGAGAGTGCGAGAGAATAGTGTTCAAGTGCTGGAAGTGTTTCATTCTCGAGCTGAAGCACGTGAGTTTGCTGGAGAAACGTTCGCTGTGTTGTTAGATCTCGTGTTAGACCCCAATCCTGGTGTACAACGCAGAATCATGTCGGGCGCTTTGAACGAGGTGGCTCATTTTGCGCTTCTAGAGCAAGAAAAACAGCCTACGCATCGCCACATATCGCAGTCTCTGCATCCTTCTTTCGTTGGCGCCGATTTTGAAAACATTCTGAGCCTTTTTCAGTCCCGAGAGTGTGACGAAGGCGAGTGGAATCGAGTATGCAACTGTATCTTGAACCGTATTACGCCGCATGTGGCGTTGGATAACTCGGCCGTTCTATTGGGTGCGATCCGCCAAGCAGCAGCATGGTGTGTCCAGAACAGACTCCGCACCCATTTTGGAGGACCAGCCCAAAGCTTTGCGAGTATCGAGCGATTATTGCAGGAGTATGCGGATGAGATTCAGCAACGAACTGGATGGAGTCCTCGAAATGATGAGGCAACAGGGACTCATTTCGCTCCAAATGACAAGCAGTTGTTGAACTGGTTGATGCTTGAGTTTGTGAGCGCGTTAGAGATGCGTATTGCCAGTGCTATTTGCGCCACCGACGTGGACCAAAGCAATCCAGAGAGTGAAGAGTATAAAGCGATGGTCTTCTTCCGTACGAACAAGGGGGTATGTGACGATTGGCTCAACCGAATCCGGCCATCCCTCGTGGAGATGGCAAAAAATGCAGCAAACTACGAGCCGTGGCGGTATCACAGCCACGCTGCGATGACTATTTGTTACAGTAAGTTCAGCAAAGCCATGTCATCCTTTGCAGCTCGTGGGTCAGCCGACAAAATAATTTCCGAGTTAAGGCAAGCGGAGAAAGATCTGGATGCCGCGTTGTTTATGCTGTGCCGATGCCACTGCGACGCGAAAGATGCAGATTCAATTATCGGATTTCAGCGATGGAGTGAATCTGTTTCTTTGGCGCTGAGCAGGCTGTATCAGCAGAACATAGGACGCGTGGAAATTGGCGAAGAATACTGCAAGATACCACTATTTAGGTGGCTGAGTGCGCTGCGGTATGAGGCTGAAATGCGATACGAAGATGCAGCCGCAGAATATGAGTCATTGCTGGAACCAGTGCTGACACGACAAAACTCACAAGACATCAGCCCTGCGAAGATCTTTGAATCTCCCATGACGCATCTCCGTATCTCACCTTCAGCACTGCTGGGGTGCATCAAACAATGTGCGAAGTGTTTTGCCGCTCTGCGCGAGTGGACAAAGCTGCGGCAGCTGATTACTCAATTCATTGGTGTCGCGAATTCTCTCATGGATTATGATTACCCCATTGAAGAGATCCAGGCGATTTTTGACTGCAGTGATGCGTGGAGCAACGAAATTGGTACGATTTCCAGTTTGGAGACATCGACGGATTACACTAACGAAGTCAAAGATAGTCGTGCGACACGAGTGGCTTTGGCGCTTCGTGTATGGGATGTTGTTAGCGAAACAAACCTTGGACAAACGGATGTTGAACCGCTGTCTAATAATCTTCGTGATAATTATCGACACGATTTGGTACAGTTGGCGTTACAGCCATCACCATGGAACGGCTATGCGGGTGAAAAGATTGGCAAAAGAGTTGAGGAGACCGTACTCCGAATGGCTCGAGCAACGAAAAAGTCCCCGTTATCCACTGGATTTCATCAAAACGTGTTACCAACGGAAGTTCTACGGCTGAATCCTGAAGTATATGATTCTGTAACTTGGGGTCAACTTTTTTTGAACTGCTCAAGCTGGAATGGGAATGATCTGAGTTCCGACGCAGAATGTTTGCACCTCCTTGGAGTAGCCAGATTGGCCCGGAAGCAGCACAATTTCAGTTTTGCCCGAGGCCTTTTGAGAGATGCGGCGAGTTTGGCGGAAGCTAGCCGTACGTCAGCTATGGGCTTAACTTACGAGAATGCAAAGCTTCTGGAGATGATTGGTATGGAGGATGAAGGGCGACGGCTTCTGGAAATGCAGTGTGAAACGAGCTTTGAAGTACTCGGCTTAAATCACACATGTCCTGGACAGGAAAATGTAACTGTCCGATCCATCTTGCACCTCGCTGAATCGCTTACCAAAGCTGACAACACGGAATTGTCGCCAGTGACATCGCGTTTCCTTGAGAGTGCACTGGGTACTGCTACAAGCGTGACCGACGAAGCGCTGGACGCTACTACTTTTTCGAGCAATTTGCAAGATGAACCTGCTCATAAATGCTTCCAAGCTGCTATCGCAGTATCACCCAAATCCCCAAAAGCTTGGATTCACTACAGTCACTGGTGCTACGATCGAGGAAAGCGTGAAATTGAGCGAGTTTCGGGACAAAATGGATATATTCACTTAGACTCCGAAGATGAAGCACAGATAACGGCTCTTTTGGAGGAGATAGGTATCACGGAACCGGACCGCGATTCCGTCGTTCGAGCTTTTTGCCATTTCCTGGACAACGGCGAGATTATCAGCCAGCGACAGGATGCTTTCCACCAGTTATGCACTGAGCTGGCACCCTTGGGCCATAGTCCTGAGGCTGTTAATAGGTTAACCAGATTACAACATGTTTGTCACGCGAAGGTGCTCCGCTTTCACGCGCTGGCTGCTCGTGGCTATGGAAAATATTTGGCGGAGCTGTTCAGCGGCTCGGGTTCCAGTATCCCAAGACAAGAAATCACCACGGTTGCGCTTCGTTTGCTTAGCCTTCTGACGGCGTATGGAGCTGAGGGAGAAGTGGTGGCAGTGCTTGAAGATGTGTTCTCCAACGGACCAGTGGATCCATGGGCTCACATTATCCCGCAATTGATCGCTCGTGCGCATCACCCGATCCCTGCTGTATCATCCTTGGTTTGCTTAATTCTCAAGCGTTTAGCACACCGTTCGCCGCACTCGATTGTGTATCCAGTAGTCGTGGACTCGATGGAGCCTCAAGCCTCGTATTCAAGTCTCCAGGAGGAGCGAGGCACTGCAAGTAACACCTTTGCTGCAGTATTACAGGAGCTGCAGAACGTATCGTCCGGACAGGTCGAAGGAGTGCGTCTACTCATTTCCGAACTTCGTCGGATTTCTATTCTATGGGACGAAGCATGGATCAGTACACTTGTCAAATTATCAGCAGACGTATCTCGACGGACGAGTACACTGGAAAAAGAAGCCACTCGCGTGGAGAAGAATGCATCGTTGTCTGCAAAAGAGAAAAGCGAGTTAGCACACCGCAAGCTGGTAGCTATTATGAAGCCGATATACGTCTCGATCGAACGGCTGTGGAAGGAAACGTGCGGATGCGTCCATGATCAACTTGCTGTGTCTCCACACGAGCGAAAATTTCTCAAGGAATACGGAGGAGTGATTGAGAATGCGATGGAGAACTTCCGTGATTGCTGCGTGTCAGAGTCTCGGGGCAATGCTGTATCAATGAAGAATCCAGAAGAGCTTTGGCAGCCATTTGCAGATATATTGAAGGCTCTGATGAACGCCACGGGACGTCGAGAACAACTGCCGCTGCATGACATATCACCGGCGATGGCTTCTACTTCTCGTCAGCTAGCGCTAACTAACATGCCCGGCGCAGTAGTAGGAAAGACAGCATGTCAAGTGGAGCCTATCACTATTCATCGTGTGGAGTCGTCTGTGACTGTTTTACGAACGAAAACCAAACCAAAGTCCTTGGAATTAATTGGATCGGATGGCAAAACGTACAAGTATTTGCTAAAAGCCCGCGAAGACTTGCGATTGGATGAACGCATCATGCAGTATTTACGTGTGACGAACGAGTTCTTACGAGCTGATGACGCTGCAGCTGCTCGAGATTTGTCCGCTCAAAGCTACAGCGTTATACCGCTCTCTAGAAACGCTGGATTGATCCAGATGGTTCCAGACGTCGTCCCTCTTTTCCAAGTGTATACTGCTCGAAGTGAAGCGAGTGGACGAGGTCCTCAGGATCCTGTCGCTGCTACTTCAGCACAACAGCCACCCCCACCGACAGCCCAGTTTTACGCCAAGTTGAAGCAGCATGGCATATCTAATGTAGCGCCAAATAACCGCTCGCAGTGGCCGACTCATGCGTTGAAACAAATCTATCAGGAGCTTGTTGCCCAGCGCCCACGCAATGTGTTGCAGCAAGAGATTCTTCTTCGGAGTGAAGACTTACGAGAGAGCTGGGTCAAAAGTACGCGTTTAAGTAAGTCCCTTGCTGTCATGTCTGTGCTTGGGTACATCGTTGGATTGGGAGACCGACACTTGGACAACATTCTGCTGTGCGTCAACAGTGGCGATATCGTCCACATTGACCACAATGTGTGCTTTGATAAGGGACGCAGACTGAAAGTGCCAGAGATTGTGCCGTTCCGACTCACGCCAATGCTGCAAGACGCGCTTGGATTTACAGGAGTGGAGGGGAGATTCCGAGTGGCATTTGAAACAACGTTACGCATTGTGCGCTCTGACAACGTTCGCGAAGCGTTGTTGACGTTGTTTGAAGCTTTCGTGTACAGTCCACTGGTTGATTGGATTGCTGAAGATAGACGACAAGGACGATCAGGAGACTTGAAAGCGCGCCTGGAAGTAAACGTGAACCTCTCTTTGTTCTTGTCGAGGGCGGAGGAACGACGACAAGATACGATTTCCTTTGGTCGTCAGTACGAGCAATATGCTGACATCATTTCGAGAGCTCTCAATGGATCGCAAGTCCCGTTTGTGACTTTGCTTGACCAGCGGAAGCGGCTGCAGTCGCTTGAGAGCGAAGAGCAAGCGCTATTGAAGGAAGTTACGAGTGTTGGGGCAGAGCTATCCAAGCATCAGAGTGCTGAGCAGACCAGACGTGCGGAAGTTGAGTCCACCACGGCTCGTTTCAAAGAGATTACTTCGAAAATAAGCTCGTTTGCTGATGAGTGCTTAGCAAGACACCAGCAGATCGAAGCGTGGAGACAGAAGAGTATCACGTTCGTTGAGTCTGACCCTGTGGCTCAACTGAGCGCTGTTACGACTGCAGTTGATTCTGCGTCTTTCCAGACGGTACATGCAACGCTACGCAGTGTTTTGGAGCAATCACGGTCCGCTGATCGACAGAGACAGCTTTTGGATGCGTTGGAGTCAAAGTGCCGATCAGTTGATGCGGATGTGACACGCTTGCGCTTTGAGATTGAGAAACTCGCCACTTATTTGGTTCCGTACCTTTCGTATTATGGCTTCCAGCGCAAGGAGCTGGATGCATATTTGGATTCAGAGATGAAGGTTGCTGGCAAGGATGTGTACTTCAAGTGGTGGACTCTTTGTACTGAATGCTTGCGTGGACTGGCGGAACAGATACAAGTAAACGCTACCAGCATTGTGACATGCAGTGCTCCCTCCGAAAAGAGTATTGCTGAGTCGACCACGGTTCTGAGTCGTCTAAGTGAATTACGGCTGGATCTCAATGGCCAGTTCAACCAGGAGAATGAGGCGTCGTGTATTTCGCAAGCTGACAAATTACTGGAGAACGTGTCGAATGCTCTTTCTGCGATGAAGCTGTCCAATGCTCAAGGGCAGCGCGTTATGAAACTCGCTGGCGCGTCTTGGATTATCAAAGTTATGGAACACCTGAACGAAGCGAGTTGCGCCTCGAGCGTCAGCGTATTCAACCTCACGCCTGCATTAACAGTGCCATCGAATTATGGAGCTGTGGTAGCTGTGACCCGTGCGTGCTCCACTTTGTTGGATTTGGTGTCAACGCCTAAGGGATCAATGAAGAGGCTTCGAGCAAGTGAACTGCTGACGTCTGGCCCCGACAAAGGTATGGATGGATTCAATGATATTCTCCAAGAAGTGGGATCGTTTGCTGTTGTGCTTCAGGAAGAGTTTGTATCAAATGTTTATGGACGAGAAATGGGTGAGAGTGGCGACTTACTGGAGCTTATCAAGGCGATGCTAACTACACCGGATAGGAGGAAAGAACTGGAAATGGTATTGATGTCAGCCAGTGTGGTAAATGATGCGAAATTATCGATACAAGCGTTGCTGGCGAAATTACCTGCAGCCCGCAACTTGTTGACTGCTGCCTTTGCTGTCACACAGAAGATCTCATCGCTGGTTGATAGTTTGCACCAGATGCCGGTGTTGACTGGTGAAGAAGTCGAACGTATCAAAATTTCTTCCTGCACTAGTTGGATTGAGTTCGCTCTAAATGCCATCGAGTTGTACACTGTGACAGAAGAGGACAAGGTGGAGGAAGTTCGCGCGATTTGGTCAGTTTACATGGATGATTTTGTTTCCAATTGCTTGGCCAAGTTACTGCGATACCAGCTGTCTAGTATTATTTCGTCTGAGTGGAAATTTGATTTCTGCGCGCTCGACCAATCAACTTCTGAGCTTCGCGCACAATGGGCGGATTATTTCTGCTCGCAGATTCCAGACATTCTGCCGTCTATGCCGACAAACTCATCGACTGCGACTCCGGAGACACTAACGAATGATGTCACCAAGTCAGTTACAGAGCTCATGAGTGTATGCGAAGAGTGGTGGTCCTACCAGTGGAGTAAATCTCAATCGAATACTTGGACTCAGCGTGTCTCGTCCATTAGAAATCGGCATGCTGGGCGTCTTCGATATGCCGCGTGGCTGTCGACGACAACGCCAGCAGAAGGTGAAGGAGCTGGTGTTTCTCGAACGCAGTTGCTTGCGTTCCTATCGTCTCAAGTGCCTCAACTGAATGCGCTGTTGACCGATCAAGTTGCAGTTGAAGCAAGCGTATTGGAGCTGGCCCAGCACATGGATTATCTGGCCTCAAACATGGGCAACGCTACGGACCCTACCGATGAGAGCTTGCATGCTTGCGTTCAGAGTTGTTACGGCAAAGTGGCAGGTCTCTTCGACTATGGACGGACTCTGGCGGATCTTGTACAAGGCATCAGTGTCATCGAGACGTCTGGCGGCGAGTCGGTACCAGAGACTGAGATAATCCAGCTCGAAGTGGATGTTGTCGGTACGAACCTTCTTCAGTCTGCATCGAATGCTACATTGGAGATGCAATCGTTGACCGAAGAATTGAATGGGACGATAGCCAATGTTCACGATCTCCAAGATGAGCTGATGCGAAAGACGAGAGTGTATGATGCTCTCGCTTCGAGAAAACTCGCAGCCGAGAGTGAATTTCACTCTTTGTGCGTTGTAAACAAAGACGCGGTGCTGAAGATTGCGCGTGTGCTGAGCAAGAGTGTGAAGGAAATGCGGCTCCTAGTCAAAGGTTTTGACAAGCTGAAAACTCCATCGAAGCAAAGCCAAGCATCTTCTGGAGCTACAAGCCCTGGGAGCATGCGTCATCGCCAACAGCAGACTGAATCGCGAGACTCACCTGAGCACCCTACTTCGAATGCAGTAGCAGGGTTTTCCTTCATGGAGAACGATCGTCTTGTACAGATTCTTCTTCGTAGCATTCGCTCCGTCAATCATCTACAGCAGCTGGAAGGGGTGCTGGAAAAGCACGGGGACCTGTGTGCTTCTCTTCGTGGTGCAGTCCTTCAACTTGACCGCGCGCTGCGCGACTTTGACACTCAGATGGACCAACTCTTAATTGACTGTGACCAATGTGCTGGTGACGTCCAGGAGTCGTCACGAGCTTACTTGTTGCTTCAGCTACTACTTGATCTTGTCGAGGCACTGCGAGTAGTCAAGAGTGAGTCGTCAGTTGCAGATGCTGGAGACTCATCGATCTCGCTTCTTATTGCGGCTCGAGACCTTGTGCGCGGATGTGTGAAGCAGTTCTTCGAAGCCACTGAAATGGCTGATCGCCTTTCAAGCAACATAGAAGACGACAGCCGAGCGAGCGGAGTCATCTCCATGCCAGATGAAGCTGATGTTGAAGAACAGAATGGTGCCGCAGAGGATTCTGCTGCATTGGAGTCAGGAGATAGCGCTGGGATGGACGTCAGCAACGACAACAGCTCGCATGACACTTGTGCGAGCAGTCCTCGAAGTGTTGAGGAGAAGAGTCAATACGGCCTGCAAGTCCTCAAGCGCATCGAGGAAAAACTGTCAGGCACCGGCACGGAAATAACAGGTGCACCACCAGTTTTGACAGTGGAGCAACAAGCATCATGGCTCATTGATGAAGCCACCAAGACAGACAACCTCTGCGTCATGTACGAAGGATGGACGCCGTGGATTTAAGACTTCAGAGGTTCTCGTGGATACCGCTCCTACTGTAGTTTGTACTGACCAAATGAACTTGCTAATGCTGACAAAAACGCACTGTATTGATGACCAGCAAGCAAGAGTCGAGTCGCTTCCATCGCATTGCAATCACCCTCTTACCTGTTTCTGTTCTGTAGGTCTAGTGGAACTTGTACTGAATCTTCTTGTGCACCTGGACCAAAAACTCAACGTACGAGACATCATTGCGTGTGCGGTCCTCTACAAGCGCACTCATGAAGCGGTTGGCGCGCCAGTCATTCTTGGTCAAGATCTCCAGCGGCTGAGAGATTGGGATCGTCGAGTTCAAGTACTCCACCAGCGAGCGCAGTCGCTCTCGAGCACTCATCCCGTCGCCCTCGGGCGGCTCAGAGTCGAGTGTTTCAAACAAGGTAAGAGTCTGCTCTGCGGTGTCAGCGTGGTCCACGCCAAAGAGATCAAGCAGCAACTCTGGCGAGGCCTTGGGGCCAATGTAAATGTAGCAGCACATGGCTGAGTGCAACAGGAAAATTCCTTCTTCATCCAGCTTTTCAGCAGTCGGCGGGAGTTGAGGGGGCAGAATGAACTTGCCATCTTCGTCCAATGTGCAGCAATCATCGGCCAGGTCGTGGACACTGTACAGCTTCGGGTAAACGGCCGATACGCAGAACTCTACCGGTAGACTGTTAAGCAGTCCCATCATCATAACGCGCTCGTCCGCACGCACATCGATAAAGCCACGCGGAGGGTTGCCCACCAGATTTCCACGCAATGCACGACTCTTGAGCGTCGCCAGTGTGTACAGAGGCAGCAACTTGAGAGACTCCGGTAGAATAAGTTGGCCAGAAGATGAAGACGAAGCACAAAATTTGCGATAGTTGAACAACACGGTCACACACTGGTCAACCAGCGACTCCTTGACGGCCATAGGAGTCGCACGCATGAGCTGCTTGTCCACGAACTGACGTGCTGCCGAGCGTTGCCACACTGAGCACGTTGCGTCCAGATCAGCGAAGCGGAACACATTCGATAACAACGGCTCCACTTGCAGTGCCAAGTTGTGTACACGCACACAACGCAAACCATCACTACGCGTATACAGTAGAGCCGCTTGGATGTATGCGTCTGTACCCTCAGCAAGAGGCTCATCGTACGCGAATGTTACGCACATTGAACGGTCCTGGTCGATCACAGCAAACTCCATCTCATCTGTCGTAAAGGCGTTGCCGCGCGCATTGAAAAAGTTACCGTACGAGTGCTCCACACGCAGTCCAGCGCTACAGCGCACCTTAAGCACTGCCTCATAGCCACAGTCACGATCCACAAGTCGCTGCAGCATACTGGTAAGATGATGACGATTACTTGACTGCTCCTTCTCGAACTGAGGCATGTACTGCACACGACCACCAGTCAATTCGCACACGCGACCCACATCAGCCAGAGATGCGAATGTGTTGGCAACCGAAAACACATCCAGAGAAATGTGGTGCTCAGCGCACTGTCGAGCCAAAGTCTCGTACGCGTTGTTGTCCTCAGGGGTGTACAGATCCACCTCCTTCGTGGTACCGTAAGCGCCACTAACTTCCTCGCGTTTCACTCTGCCAATGCCCATGCGCGGAGCTCCAGCATGAAGCAGCACTACTCGTCCTCCTGACACGGACAGAGCGTCAGCTACACTCCATAGCGCAGCACCTGACACGGCCTGGTTCTTTGTAGTGGTCTCAAACGAGCGCGTGATAACTTCTGACAGCTCGGTGATCTTATCAGAAGCAGCAGGGTCGTCCATGGAGACCAGCCAGCTACTAGGAGGTAACGGGGCCACAGGATCATCAATATCGGGGCAAATACTCATCGAGATAGACGATGAGCCGTTGTCCATTCGGTAGTAGTGCACGGCAGTGTCGAACGTCACGATACCAATCTTCTTGCGCTTATTCTGGGCCATCGACGGGAGCAGATACTGAATCGACTGCAAGGCATTTGTAGCGAGTCCCGTCTGGAACGAAAAGAGCGACACGTCGAGCACAAATACGAGAATGGGCTCTTGCGGCGGACGGATCGTGTAGGCAGCAGGCACAACATACTCCACTGAGCCACGTGACAGCTCTGCACGCTCCTGGATATCACGGCGCTTGCCATACTGATCCACACTGCAGTAGTAGTCTCGCGGAGTCTCGTTGTTGAGCTGACAAATGTTGCATACGAACTTTCGTCCACCCTGAATAAACTTGGTAAACGAGTTCACGTACGCAGCGCAGCGTGTACATCTCAACGGGCCATTAGGTCCAAAGTCCACCAGCGGAATCGGTAGTTCGTCTTCTTGGAGATCCGCAAGTGGGCAGATAACTGCGGCCAGCGGCAGTCCACATTGTTTCAGCAGTTCTTTGTTAGCGGGAACGTGATTCAGCGTCGGCCGAATGAAGCGCGGGTTGCAACAGCCTTCATCCACACACACATAGTCGCTCGAAGCAGGTGGTGGCATAGTTACTGTGTGGCCACGCGCAACATACTGCACACGCTCGGCCGAGACAACAGGACGAGGGATCTGGGTCGGGTCAATACGCTGCTTCGGGGCTTGAGAAGCCTGCGGTTGCTGCTGTTGAGGATATCCTCCTTGTTGGGGCTGGCCATAAGCACCTGGAGCGCCAGGTGCACCGTAGGGTGGTGTAGCGCCTCCTGGCCCAGGGGGCCCTGGGTACGGTCCAGCATTTCGGTTCGGCTGAAGATATGGTGCAGCTCCTCCCTGAGGTGGTCCCTGTTGTCCATTAAACTGCGGTGGAGGCGGGCCCTGCATCTGGCCACCAAACTGTGGAGGAGGAGGGCCTGGCCGGCCGCCCTGTGGAGGTGGAGCGTTGTTAAACTGCTGTCCTGGACCGGGAGGGCCTTGCTGGAATTGCTGTCTCGGTGGCCCCTGCGGGCCAGGAGGTCCCGACTGGAAAGATCCTGGTCCTGGTGCAGGCGTCGCATTCTGGAACGATCCGGGCGCGGGCGAGCCCTGGCCAGGGTACGCACTGCGTCCTGGTGTCGCCGCGCCGGGCGGTCCGCGGTTCACCTGTGGTACGCCACTGTTTGCTCCATTAGATGGCGGGCCTGAAGGGCCCGGTTGGCCAAGCTGCTGGCCAGGCCTGAAAGAGCCCTGGGAACCTGGAGCAGGCGGGCCGCCAAGTTGCTGGCCAGGTCGGAATGAGCCTTGGGAACCCGGAGCTGGCGGTCCGCCAAGTTGTTGGCCAGGCCGGAAAGAACCTTGAGAGCCAGGGGCCGGCACCTGCTGCACCTGGCCAGGGAAGCCCGGACGACCTCCGAGACCTGAGTGGGGAGCTTGAGGCTGCTGAACGCCAGGGAAGCCGCGGCCAGGGAGGCTTCCTGTTCATACCGACATATTGGCGTTAATAAATGCTGTAGAGAATACATAGTACATTTCGGAGCTACCAGTGGGCTGTGACATGGGATGCTGCTGCTGATTGTACTGCACGTTGCCGTATGCTGCTGACGTAGCAATGCTATATTAGCTGCGAAAAGGTCACGAGACAAGAATCCAAAGGGCTGCGTACCAGGATTGGGAGGCGCATATCCGCCGCCACTGCGAGGCGCCTGCTGCTGCTGCTGGGGAGGAGCCTGGCCGCCGTAACCACGCGGTGGGTAGTTGGGCTGCTGCATCTTCGCCGGCAGGAGGAAAGTTCCGATGCCCGACGCTTTGACTTCCACGTGTGCAGCGGGGGTGTCGAACGGTTTTGACGGGGAAAATGATCGTTCTGAGTGCTGACATAAAATATTTCGAAATTGACATGACGGTACTTATTTTGATTAGACTAGCCTACAGAGAATAGATTCTGTAAGGGTAGGTCCACTATTTGAAGCATTCACATGATTCTCGCCATAATAGGAGCATTACTTTTGATTGGAGAAAGAGCTGATTCTGGATCAGCCCTCTTTGCAGCGCAGGACAAGATTGATCACTGTCCGAATTGACTATTCAGACTACGAGACTTTAGCAACCGTATCATTTGCTGCAAGACTGAACTTCTGAGGAGCAGTGAGCTGTGCTGCCTTGAAAAAAATGTTGAAGAGATCGACTGTAACAGTTAGTCTGCTGCTGCGCGTAAAGACACGAATTGTCTTCCAAGAAAATACTCTGCGTTTTGCTGCATGGTGTTTTATCTCTTGACTACCTGGATATGCTTGGGTCTGTGCATATGCCGCGAGCAAGAGCACGTTTTCGATAACTCAAACAAAGCTTCAATCTTACCATTTTCTTTAGAGTCCCGTTTCCAGGCTCTGAGTCTCACTCTTCATTTGTTGTCAATGATGTCTCCAAGAGTCATCGACGATGGCCCAAGCTCGTATGTGTGAGGGCGTGATAAGGAGTTTTCGCAATCGAGATACCTATCATGAATTGAAATTCACCACAACGAGCAGCAGTAATCCAGTCGAAATGTTTTTGGAGTTGATGAGCAAACTAGAATATTGCCAGCTCTTCTACTCTTGTATTTCGATGTCTCCAATGGACACCATTGCACATTGCCACGAGCGCTGCTTTTGCAGCAAAAGTTTTGCTCAGTACAATTTTTTATTTTATTGTAAGAGCACTGACGAGCAGCAGTAATCCAGTCGAAATGTTTTGGATTGATGAGCAAACTAGAATATTGCCAGCTCTTCTACTCTTGTATTTCGATGTCTCCAATGGACACCATTGCACATTGCCACGAGCGCTGCTTTTGCAGCAAAAGTTTTGCTCATCGATTGCAGCGACATCAGTGTCCATCAGTCACTGGGAAGGGCTTTTCACTGTAAAAAGTGCTTTACATCTTCGCCCTCCACTCATCATCCTTATGGATAGAGTCCAGCAGCATATCGAGTCGATAATCGACGTCCATCTCGATTCGAGAATCTTGAAGGCTACCATGTCAATCGGTTCTTGGCCGCCAAGTTGGCGAAGCAGTGCTTTGAAAGTAGTGCTTTCCCTCCCAGATTTGGTGGGAACAATGGTATCATGGGTACCACTGAGCGGCACTGACGGCATCAGCGTCAGGCTCCGCTGAACACCCTCCATCAGAAACAGCGCCCATCGCACTCGTGACGACAGCCACCGATGGACAATCCAACCTTCTAAAAAAAAAGTAGAGTTCCTTGCCTGCATTTCATGGAGCCTCCATTGGAGGCACCGGCTTAAGCGCCGACAGCCAGCAGTGCAGCGCTGTGCATGGCCTCGCCTGTCACATCAACTGAAGGTAACCGCGCATAGAGCGGCTCGAGCTGCGCCGCTGAGTCACCATCGTGACAGCAGCCGTGTCAAAACTCGCTGTCGACTTTGCATTGCAGGACGGACCACGTACCTGTCGGGGACATTAGTAGTACCCACGCCACCAATGATGATGTCAAAAGTCATGTCGCATGGTCTTCCTCGTACCTAAGCAAATTAGAGTCATTCCATTGGTCAGTAGACGGCGCGTCGACATCGACGTTTCCATTCGGATCCTGGCAGCCATTCGGTGACATTAGCGAGATTCACCTGGGTTGACTCGACACCATTTTTGAAAACCCCAGCGACTGCTTACACCAAGATGGACGTGGAGAACAGTCTCTTGACGCGGCTAGCCGCCAACGGGCCAACTATGAGCGACGCTCCCATGCTTCTGATGGCTGTGGTGCTGGTGTTGGCGCTATCGGGCGTTGCGTCCACCGTCTCACAGCAGCGACAGAAGGCAAACGAGGACGAGACTCTGCAAGGCCGTAAGCTCACGCGCAAGCTCAGCAACATCGGCCTCTCGACGCTCGTTACGGAGGTACCCACCAACCTATCCATTCCCGTGTCTGTCTTAACCGTGGAAGGCCATCTGACCAAGGAGGACTACATTGAGCGCTTACGTGCACGTTTACTGCACGATGCTTTCTTCTTGCGCTGGCGCAGCGTCGTCCGTGGAGACTACAAAACGGGCGTCTACAAGTACGTGGAGGTACCTGACTATGACGTTGCGCAGAACGTGGTGGAGCACACGGTTGATGAAGGAGAGACCACCATGTCGTACGTTGAGTCCGCTATTGTCAACACACCGCTGGACTTCGACAAGCCACTGTGGGAGATGCACGTGATCCACGACCCTAAGAGCAACCCGGGCGTCACCAGCGTCGGGTGGAAAGTGCACCATTGCCTCGGAGACGGTGCCTCGCTTGCCACGGCCATGGCCAAGCTCAGTGACCAGAGTGAGCTCTTCGACGCCATGCTCGAGAAGCGCTTACAGGCCAAGAAGAACCCAAAGATGCCGAAGCCTCGCAAACCCGTGACCCAGACCATTAAGGACATTTTGATCTTCCTGTACGTCTGCATCTGGTCAGTCTACGTGATCTCGTATCACATGTTCGCACTTGTGGCTCGTCGTGAACCTGCCACGGTCTTTAAGCGTCCCGGAGGCAAGCAAAAACGTCTATCATACAACATGATCTACTCTGTTCAGACCACCAAGGCCGTGGGCAAACACTTCCGCGCTACAGTGAACGACGTGATGCTCAATGTCGTGGCAGGTGCCATGCGCAAGACCATGTTGGCTATGGGCGAGTCTGTGGCTCCAACACTTAAGGTACGCAGCGCCATCCCAGTGGACATGCGCTCCAGCACGGAAGTCATCCGCCACACTAGCAACCGCTTCTCTTCACTCGTGATTGACCTTCCAATCGGCGTCGAGGACCCTGCTCAGCGTCTGTACCAGGTCACGGCTGCTATGAACGAGGCCAAAAATTCACTGGAGAAGTTCTTCGTGTACTGGTCGAGCCACTTCGTGTCCAAGTTGCCAGCACCACTTATGCGTTTGGTCGTACACTTCACTACCAGTCGTATCTCCGTGGCTATTAGCAATGTGCGTGCCAGTGTCGTAGAAATGAGTTTATGCAAGAGTCAAGTGTCGGGCTTCTACGGTTTTGTGCCACCGCCGCCGTCTGTGAACCTTGGAGTGGCCATCCTGTCGATGGGCGATAATCTGGGTCTGAATGTCCTTGTGGATCCATGTGTCGGTGTCAACGCTAAGCAATTCCTGGAATTTGCGAAGGAAGAATTCACTGCGCTTCAAGAATCGGTTGCTGCCATTGAGGCCAACGCTAATGAAGACAAGAAGACCAAGTAAAAAGCAAACACGGCAAATTTAATGAACTGGGCCACTCGTCTACAAATATTGGGCACAGGTTTGACGATATCGCTAAACGTTGCCTAGACTGGGAGGCTGCCTTGTCGAAAATGAAACGTAATGTTGTATGCTAAATGCTTTGTTATCTTATTCGAATACTACTAGTATTTTTTAGCCCTGTTCAACGTGAACTTCACGTGGGTATTTATATGATCGTTGACGAGCTATTGTGGTTGCCATTGCCTTACCGACTACACTATTAGCAAGAAGTTACCAAGAAGATCAGTCGATATGGAGGAGGCTCAAGTTTCGACTCAGTCTGTCGATATTGAACCTGTCAACGACAAACACCCAACAGAAGTGACCCCGACCGAACCCGTTGGCAACAACCATGCGGAGCCACATAACGCTGCAGAGATTGTCAAGACATCCGAGCCCGAGTTGGTGTTACAAGCTCCTGCCGAAGAGAATCGTCCTGTTGACGTAACTACAGCTCCCAATAGCGAAGATTCGTCTACGTCTGTATGTGAGCCTCCGCTCTCCCCTCGCTCGGGCCGTTTATCCGAAGGAGCTGAGGTGGTGACGCCGGCAGGCACAGTCGAGGCACCTGTCAGTGCGAGTGATACTCCGTCAACAGAGGAGAAGGAATCTATAGCTCAAGTGAAAAGAACTAATGTAACTGAAGCAGAAGCGCATGCAGTCGACCACGAACTGCAGCACGAAACAATCACTCTAACCTCCACACCAGCAGCAGTTACCACAGAGTCAAAACCGCCCGTAGCAGCACCTTCCCCATCAAAGAAGGCCAAGAGCGAGAAGAAGCAGGCCAATGTACGTCTTGCAAGCATAGTTTACAACCTCTTGAACTTTAACATGGATTTTTGTTTCCGCAGCAAGACTCTTTCGCTAGTGAAGAAGTATTGCACGAGATGCAGAAATTCCTCACGCTTCAGGTACGAAAGTATCCTACTATCACCTAAAGTATATTTTGTTAAAACTAACTTTCATGCTACAGATTGTGGAGAATCGCTGCGGCTCACACACGAAGGGTATTCAAGAATGTAAGTCGAAAGCTTTCATATTCATCGGGTACGTAAGGTGGCATACTAACCTGTTACCTGTTTCCTGCAAGTCGTGGAGAATCATCTGAATGAGAAACAGCGGAAGCGATACATTGCTCCACTATTAGAGCGCATCGTACAGAACTTTACACAAGAGGCCACAGCTAAGGGGGAAGAGGTTTCCCTCGACGTGCAGTCCAATATCTGTCTCATCGAGCAAATGTTCCTAACATTTGGACGACGTTCACCGCTCCAGGACATGTACACTGCAGAGGAAGAAGAGATGCTAGACTTGCTCTTCCACAGCAACAGCAGCAACAACCTACCGATCGATACTTAATGCTTCAAATGCATCTAACTTCAGCAAGGAATTAGCAAATACTATGTATTGGTTCATACCCGTCTTCCATCCTGCATAACCCCCTCCAATATCCCCTCGTACATGTTTACTGCTCCTCACATTGCTCGGCGGGGACTATCCGGACGACCTTGCCGATTCCTTTGGCTTGACCATCACGGAACACGAAGCGCATACCTTTCTTCAAGAACTCCGGCGAATGGATGAAGCGGAAACGCACAAGTGCTCGGTCTCCTGTGCGAATAACCTCTTGGTTCGATTCAATCGAGATGATCTCTGCTGTCTGTCGAATTGTCCGGCAGTTGACCATCGGCTGGTAGCCGACAGTGACGGTTGTCTGGTGGTGTAGAATCACTACACGAGCCTCAAACACCCGTGACACGTAGTCGTCCACCTTGATTTCGGGACTCAACAAGATCATTCCTTTGCGGAACGTTGACTGATTCAGCGCGAATTTCTTGTTGACGGAGCGAACAGCCACCGCCGCAGTTTGTCCCGGAACGAGCTCCTTCAGTGGCATGTACATCGACTCCATCGAACGCACTGTAACCTTGTGGAAATGTCCATTGTAGTCTGGTCCGATCTGCAGTGCGTCGTTGATTTTGAAGCTCCCAGTCATTAAAGTTCCCGCCAGGATGAACCCCACTCCAGGGACTTGGTACGTCTCGTCGATCGGCATTTCGACCACGTCACTCGCAGCAATCGCCTTCTTCTTTGAATCAGCGGCACCGATGGGTGTTGCAACCGTGATGCTTTCCTCCTGGTTCATCGACTTGGTCGTCGCTAGCGTCGAGGCCGACAGTCCAGCCTTGAACAATGCCGACGGCGACGTCTCGCAAAGTATCCGACGGAGATTCTCCAACCCGTCACCCGTGACGTTGGAAATCGGCAGAATAGGCGTGATGCGGTTCGACGGTATACTCTTCGCTGCTGTCACCGCCTGCTCCGTCGTCTTGACAAGCATCGCCATCTTTCCATCTAGCAGCAGAGCAATAAATTCAATTAACCACTTGATCTCGGATTATAACGTTATAATGTCAACGTACAGCGTCGTAATGCTTGGCGAACTGTAGCCAGTGTCTCCTTTGCTACATTCTTGGGCGCAATGTCGATCTTCGTCAGCGCCACAACGATCGGAATCTCCAGCTACACTCAAGCAACATGCAACGTCAATATCACCAACCACTAGCGCTAATACCCGCGTTAAACCCACCGCAACAGCAATGGCCAGGTGTTCCTTGGTCATCCGCTTTACGCCCATGTTGGCTCCCACCACGACGACGACCACGTCTGGCTGCATGCCTGTGAGTCCGAACACTGTCGTCTTTAGATACTTCTCGTGTCCTGCTAGATCGATAAGCTGGATGCGCTTGTGGGCTATCTTGGCCAGTTCTCCCCAGGGGATGAGCTTACCCGCTCGCTTGGATAAAATCTGCTCTCCATGCTCGTCAAAGCCTAGATAAGCTGTGGCCACGCTGCTGGTACGACCTGATTCGATCTCGTGTTTATGACGGAAGATGGCCTGGCGAGAGGAGCCTCGGCCGTCGTCTAGCTCTCCCTTAATGAGTGTGCCGATAAGACTCGACTTGCCGCTGTCCACGTTGCCCACGAAGGCGAGACGCAGAGTGCGCAGCGTGTCGTGGTTGGTCTCTGGGGTTGTGATCTTGGCCTCCTCGTCCTGATTGGAGACGTGTAAACCTTCCTTGAGGTCGACGGCTGCAGCGTCGACGTTGGGCGTGAGGCTACTCCTTCGCTCTTGGACCTCCATGGCTGCTGGTGAGTTGCAGAGTGGCGAGCGCGGGACACAGCGTCAAGGGATGACAGTCTTTGCGGCTTTTGGATCTACGTCGCTTCGCCCCGTCGAATCTGATATCGTGAGTGTTGGTCAATGGGTTGAAGTTGTCAACATTTTAGCGTACAAATGCTCGCTGAGCGACAAGAAAAAGAATGTGGAGGCTGTCAGCACGAGTTTATTTAGTAGTGTGCTAGTTTAAGATTAAACTTCTAATAACCTTCACTCACTAATAGCGCTACAAGTCTGGCTGCTGTGACCAGGGAGATGGAGTACGATGGAGCGCTTAGCGTGCAGTTCTGCAAACTTGATGAGGCGTTCGTAATAATACCGTTAGGCCACTCGTCTTGTTGACACCTTGCCTGCTTCACACGAGTGGTAGATACTACACTAACCTTATGCCTCCGGTGTCAGCGCTCCGAACAATATCAAGAGTGGTAGTGTATTAGATCAAGCTTGTGCTGCACAGGAAGTCGAAGTTTTTGTTGTTACTCTCGAATATGGTGTCGATGATGGATTGGATTAGGGTGGAATGATCCAAAGATCCTGGAACCATCACTTGAAGACCCCTGGGACGCATCAATTCCGCGTCGGTGCGAGTGAGAAACAGAGGGCAGAGGATGACATCCACGTATTCCATGGTAGCGACTCGATCTTTCGATGCTTCCGAAGTACCGGGAGATCTATTTAGATGCACCTCCACAATGTTCGCCTCCATCTGTAAGTCGAAGACTTCGGATTCCGTGCTGCATTGCCATCCACCATGCTATTTCAACAAGGTGTACGTGTAACTACCTATTGTCATTTCGGTGTCGTCGAAGTTGCGGAAGTGTCAAGCATCCAAAAACGTTGAATTCTTGCCAAGTCATAAGAACTCAATTCTTTGTCCATGACGACGACTACAATACCCTCCAGAAGTAACTGTAAAGCGGTTGCCATGTAAACGTTGAACTCGCCATGCTGTACACCTATAATAGAGGATTCTCTCGTGTGTCGATCGATCACTAAGAAGATCGATCAACGGTAGGCAAAATGATTATGGGACAACATAGTTTTTTTCGTACAAGTCAAATCGTAAACCGGATCTTATATCTAGATCGCAGAGAGAGAGAGAGAGAGAGAGAGAGAGAGAGAGAGAGAGAGAGAGAGA